GAGGAGCGGTGGCCGCTCTTGGCGCTGCCGCCCGTTTCCATGGGTCTGCTGGGTCCTGGGTGATTTTGCTGGGTTTCGGTGACGCGCCGGTTGGCTGTAAGGACAGCCCGCCGTGGCGGCTCGTAGGTGGTGTTTTTCAGCTCGGCCGAGGAGAGGAACCGGGGGAGACAAAAACGGCCACGCATCCAAAAGATGCGTTCATATGGGTGGGGTGAGCTCGGAGAGAGAGGCTGAGTTGAAGCGCGTCTTCCCTGCTATGTTTGCACGTGCGATTGAGTGAATGCAGTGCAAGGAGCAGTTTGGCAGGCAGCTGGAGCTTTGCAGTACGCGAGGGCTTCGAGGCTGACGGCGTTCTGCACAACAAAACTTCTGCTGCTGCCTTTAAATAATTAAGTGACTTTGCCTAGCCGCGAAAGTAGCTGTCCAGGGATCGTCCTCCTCTGCTTTTCCCTCCTTCCCCGCACCTTCCATCCTCCATCTTGACTTGTTACTCTTCTTCAAAAACGTCACGACTGATCAGGTTGCCTTCTTGAGATGCTTTTCCCATCTTCGTTTGATGACCTGAAGTTTTCCCAGGCTTACAGCACGCGATGTTTGTTAGCTTAAATGAACCCTTGCTACCTGGCCTCTCTCTGTGAAGCGCAGTGCCAGAACTGAAATCCTGTAGTAACATGCCCGTTACATGCAAGAATGTAGTTCAGATGCCCAAAATATTGGGGTCATTGGTGCGTTTGGATTCCCCTAGCACTAGATAAGACCGTGCAGCGCGCCTCTAAAAGGCAAGAATTTCGGGGGAATTTCACATTTCACATGTCACCTGATTGTATGGGCAGCCACCTGCGCTTGGCCAAGTTGTGGGCTCACTTTCAGTACTGATTGGATATTCTTTCAGAGTATTTTTCCCAGGCCTTAAACTCCTGCTTGGGGAATGAGGAAGTACTAAACCTGTAGGCAGATAAAAGCATATTACCTTGGTGTGACTTACTACATCTGCTAGTTAGACTTACTCTATTTAATCTGCAGGTAAAGTTAGTGTCCGGTTTAGGAGGCTGCATGTGTCCTTTTTCTGCGTGCGGGCTGTTTGCCAGTTGGTGCTCCAAGCGTAGATCTCTTGGAAACGGGGACTGCCAAATCCCGGAGTCCTGTAAAACCACCTGTATTTTGAAGTTGGCTGCTCTTAGTGTAGTACCGGCTGTATCATTTATCCTGAATGCTGGAACTAAAGTTTTGGAATGATCTTTAACAGTTATTTCTACAGGTAGGAAGGAAGTACCTGCTTTGGTCCCGATTTTGCTCTCTCTGAAATGGCTCAGAGCTTTGCCATTGGCTTTATTAAATCTTCTTTTTCAGCACAGTAGTGCAAAGCAAAATTAGTGGTCTGTAAGCTTAGAGTGTTTGTTTGCAGTAATACTTGATTTTTTTCTCATCTATTTCAGCAGAACAAAGGTGTTCACATTGGAGCTACAAACATTGGTGTTTTGAGATTTCAGCTCTTCTCCTACGGTTCCTGTGCGAGCAAGTGCCATAAAAATGAACGTCCAAGGGAAAGGCTTCCCTTTGGACCTCGGAGGAAGCTTCACTGAAGATGCTCCGAGGCCACCAGTTCCTGGTGAGGAAGGTGAACTCGTGTCCACAGATCCAAGGCCAATTAGCCATGGTTTCTACTCCAGTAAAAGTGATGTCGTTAGAAATGAGATGTCCACAGCAACACCAAGGCGCTCGGATTTGGATTTGGGGTATGAGCCAGAGGGGAGCGCTTCGCCAACTCCACCCTACTTGAAATGGGCCGAGTCGCTGCATTCCTTGCTGGATGATCAAGACGGTATCAATCTCTTCAGGACTTTCCTGAAACAGGAGGACTGTGCAGATCTGCTGGACTTCTGGTTTGCCTGCAGCGGCTTCAGGAAGCTGGAGCCCTGCATGTCTAACGAGGAAAAAAGACTCAAACTGGCAAAAGCCATTTACAAAAAATACATCCTCGACAACAATGGAATTGTGTCCCGGCAGATCAAACCAGCCACAAAAAGCTTCATAAAAGACTGTGTCATGAAACTACAGATTGACCCCGACATGTTTGACCAGGCCCAAACTGAGATTCAGTGCATGATAGAAGACAATACCTACCCTTTATTCCTTAAGTCGGATATTTATTTGGAATACACAAGGACAGGTGGGGAAAGTCCAAAAATTTATAGCGATCCGAGCTCAGGGTCTGGGACAGGGAAAGGGCTACCTGGTTATCTGCCTACTCTGAACGAGGACGAGGAGTGGAAATGTGACCAAGACACGGAGCCGGAGGCCAGCAGAGACTCTGCCCCCTCGAGCAGGCTCACCCAGAAGCTGCTTTTGGAGACCGCAACCCAGCGTGCCACATCGACTCGGCGGTACAGTGAGGGGAGAGAGTTCAGGTACCCGTTTTGTGCGTTGCCTCTGTGGAACGGATCAGGGGAGCTGTTGTGAATTTGGAGGTGCTGGGAAACGGGGGACGTTTGGCAGTTGCTGATGCTTGGGGGTGGGCAGGCGTCAGTATCGGGGTGGGATGACGTTGCGGTGACGCTTTGTTGGAACGCACCTTTGTTTGAATATGATTGCAAATTATTTTAAGGTTGTCTTTGGCTGTTTCTGTTTGATTCGCGTGAATCATCCCGGCAGCACGTTTCTTCCCCTCTGGGTACCGCTGCTGAGTGTGTTCTGGACGTAGGACGTGGTGCAGAGCTGTCGGCCGTGGGTACACAGCTCCTGTGTACGCTAAACGAGTCGAGGGAGCTCCGCTTTCCGGTTGGCTTTGAGCCTGCCGTGGCAGGAGGTCAGCGTTCAGTTAGAGGAACACAGATGAATGCAGCTCGCGGTAAAAGTTTGCCCTGTAAATATACAAGGAAATGGTTGTGATGAGCCACAACTAGAGGCTGCAGGAAGTGTGTGGGGAATACCCTAACGTCCGTAATATTCATATGGGTCAAACGGGGTTCAGAGCGCTCCCTGGAAACGGTATCGCTTTGCGCTCGAGAGCTTCGTGACAGTGAGTTCGAGCAGTGTCAAAGTAGGGATCGTTAAATCCAGCTAAAACCTTTCCGTT